AAAAGTGCTTTTCCATTGTGAAGGCTGCAGTGAGTATCACAAACTAAAACGTGTGTGAGTTGTTGAAGGGAAAACCATGCTGTTCTGTAAATGTTCACCCAAATCACAATAAAAAGCTTTTAAATTAATTAATTATGACCAAATTTGAAGTTACGAAGTTATTGAATCTAGGTGATAGATATACAGATATTGATTATACTTTCCTACCAACTTTGGATGTTTGATCATTTCTCATAAGTAACATTTTTAATTATGTTTTAAATGAGAGTTCTGAAAAACATTGTTAAAAGACAGAAGAAAGCATAAATATTAATGGCCTGTGGTATGTGAATGTTATATTGTGACAAGTTTTATTATTTAAACATAATATTTATGCTGTGTTGGTGAATAAAAGTGAAATCAGAATTAAATGGTAATTAATCTTGTTTCAAAAAGATTATTATTGTTTTATAAAGTTTCTAATACACTTGACCTTCTTGTTATTCCAGTTTTAGTAACATAATATCGGATATGAAAGTTGCCAAGTCTGCTACAGCTAGAGCTAGTATGAGACCAGAGCATCAGATTCAGTTTGATGAAGGGTCTGATTTTGACCATCAGAAGAACGCTGATCTTAGAAAAAGGTATTCTGGCTTTGTAGTCTACTTGATTTTGTTTGCTTTTACATTGACTGTGTTGTTAGGTGCTGTTGAGTATTTCCCAACTCATAGTGACTTGATGTATAACAGAACAAAAACTGCCTGGGCCTTCCACATCAAATGCATCAAATTGTCTTCTTCATTCATTGTCCAGCTTTCACATGCAAATGAGACAACTGCAAATACCATGGGTTGAGTCAGGTGTGCCTTTGTTATTGTTGATAAGTGCCTTTGAGTCAGTTCTGACTCATAGGAGGAGGAGCAGGTGAGTTTGAACTGCCAACCTTCCAGTACTCACCCTCCACCTCTACACCAAGATTCCAGGTTTGCCATGGTGGTGGTGGTAGTAGTTGTAGTTGTGTGCCGTGGAGTTGGTTTCGTCTCATAACAACCCTGTATAGGGTTTCTAAGGCTGTAAATCTTTACGGAAGCAGAAACCTCATCTTTCTCCTGTGGAATGACTGGTAGTTTCTAATTGCTGACCTTGAGCTTAGCAGTCCAGCTCGTAACCACTATGCTACCAGAGCTCTAGTCCTCATGAGCTATAGTTTTAGTATTAAATTTAATACTATAATTTGATTTCACTGCTTGTCAATATTCATTATGGGTAGGTATCTCAACAATATGAATGCATTTATATGGATGCATTGTTTCCTTATTCTACATACCATATCCTAGAAAGGAAAAAATATCCTGGATTTAACAGTCAAATTTACTCTACGGAAACAAACAACAATAAATATTTTTTATGCTATAAATTTAAATGGACCCTCAGGGCAAACCACCTTCCAAAACTAAGACTCAACAGGAAAACATGAGCAGACATGCGCTCTTGATTGGTGACCATGTTCGTCACTGATAAGGGGAAGTGTAGGGACTCTTGGCCCCAGAGTCAGTGACATAGCCACAGAGGACTAGAGTGGAAAGTGAAGCATCCAGATGATAAGAAGAGAGGGCATATGCATAAGAACACCCACACTTGCAGATAATACCCACTTGACCTGGCTTCAATGACTGGATGATCAGAGCTCAACTAGAAGAAACAAGAGGATAAAAGAGTAGTCTGATTCTACAATTTGATGAACTTTACCTACACCTATGGATGCATTAGCTCTAAAGACGGAACAAATCTTTACAGCGAGGCTCATTCCCACCCCTCCATACACAGAGTGGACAGGGATGGGCAACCTGGACATTGGCTACCCAAAATGGGGGGGCTACAAAGGTAAGAAGTGACTGGCTTACAAGGTTTCAAGAGGGAACCTAGATCCAGAGGGCATGGAGGAAGGTAGAATCTCCACTGAGTAGTATCCAGTGTGTCTAGGTGGGGCTGATGAAATGAAATGCGGATAGGTCTCTTGTGATACAATAGTGAGTAATTGTTATCAGGACTGATTGTGAGGGTTGGAAATGTAAAGGTAGACGAGACGTTTTGTAGCAAGGAGGGGAGTGATTAACTTTTCAGTCTAAGGACAGAGGTCCCTGGGACCATCAGGGGAGAAGAGTGGAGTGCAGGACCCAACCCAGAGAAGCAGTGATGCATGAGATGGAGGCAGAGACAACGACGTGGAAAGATAGAGCGGCTGGAGACTGTAGACCCAGAGAGAGAGAGGAGCTGTGTGCTGACGACTGGGGGGCAGACTTGCAGGGTGTATCCTTTGGTTGGTTGATGATGCATCAAGAAGATTGTAAGCATGACAGTGAAACAATATACAATAGGATGAATGTAAAACTAATGTTCTCCCATGTAAACTATCACATAATTCACAATAAAACATTAAAAAAAAAAACAACCATGGGTTGCCAGAAGAACAAACAAATCTGTGTTGGAAAAAGTACAGCCAGAATTCTCCTTGGAAGTCAGAATGGCCAGGCTTTGTCTCTCATACTTCAGACATATTCTCAGGAGGGACCAATTCACAGAGAATGACATTATACTTGGTAAAGTGGAGGGACAGTGAAAAAGTGGAAGACCCTTGGTGAGATGGATTGGCACAGTGACAGCAACAACAGGTACAAGCATAGCAGCAATTGGCAGCACGGTGCACAGCTGGGTGGTGTTTCATTCTGTTGTTCATAGAGTCGGTACAGGTCAGAACCAAATCAGCGGCACCTAACAGCAACACAAAAAGTGGGAAATGATGGTGAGCAGTTGCAGAGTTTACTGGACTTTGAAAGGTTATTTAAATTGCTAATTCAAGATGATTTTGTATTTATGAGGAGGCCATGATGGCACTCAACTACTAACTGAAAACTTAGTTTTCCAAACCCACCCAGAGGTGTCTGGGAAGACAGGCCTGACACCATTCTGAAAGGTCACAGCCTTGGAAACCCTATGGTGCACAGGTCTACTTTGCACACATGGGTTTAGCGGGAGTAGGAATCGATTTGTTAACAACACCAGCAATAACAATATCTAAGACATATTATTCAATAAAATTGAATATGTACTTGGGATTTTACTTAAGATTCCTCAAGAATATTTAGCTGAATCAGTCTTTTTGAAATGATTCCATGCAGCTACATCAAAATGGTTTATCATTGTTTGATTTTTAAAATGATATTGGCTGCTATTAAAAGTAAAGGAGTACTACCCCTCAATACACAGGGTAGACAGGGATGGGCAACTTGGACATTGGCTACCCAAAATTGGCTGGGGGGGGGTACAGGGGCAAGGGGGGGGGGAGACGCTACAAAAGCTTACAAGCTATCAAGACAGAACCTAGATCCAGAGGGCAAGGAGGAAGGTATCCAATCTGGGTGGGACTGATGAAAGGAGATGTGGACAGCACTCATGTGGTACAATAGTGAATAATTACTATCAAGACTGACTGGGAAGGTTGGAAATGTAAATGTAGACGTTTTTGTAGCAAAAGGAGGGGAGTGGTTGACTTTGTAGTCCAGGAGCTGAGGTCCCTGGGACTATCAAGGGAAAAGAGCAGAGTGCAGGACCCTACCCGGAGAAACAGTGACGCCAGAGATGGAGGCAGAGACAATGACATGGAGAGATGGAGTGCCTGGGAACTCTAGACCCAGAGAGGGAGAGGGGCTGTGTGCTGACGACCAGGGGGTGGGGGAGTGGGGACAGGCTTGTGGAGTGTACCATTTGGTTGGTAGATGATGCGTGGAGGGGATTGTAACCATAATAATGTAATTATATACAGTAGGATGAATGTAAAGCTAATGTTCTCCCATGTAAACTATCACATAATTCACACAAAAAAGTAAATGAGTAGCTCCGGAGGTAGGAAAGGTGATTCTGTGGATACAATGACTCTCTAACGCTGACTAAAGTGCTCTCATATAAGGAGATGCGGTAGTGAGATACCACATTGCCCACCCCAACTCTGACTTGTGTAGTGTTTGGGGGTGACTGAGAGCAGTCAGAGGAGTGAGTCTCACACTACCACACGCTAGTTCTGGCATACTTGGGGTCCTGCTAGAGGAAAGCATATATGAGTTGAGGTTAGTCACTCTTTGTAATCTTAAGGAGCCCTGGTAGGACAGTCATTGAGTGCTTGCTGCTAACTGAAATATCGGTTGTTCATAACCACTTTATTACTCAGTCAGAATTGACTTGAAGGCAGTGGGTTTTGTTTTGTATTTAATTTTAATAACCGTACTTGCCTTTTCACAGTTTGTTTCATTTAACATGCAAAATAATTTGATTTTCTAAAAAAGTAAGAATTCAAAATTATTTTTTAAAGTAACCCCCTGGTTTATAAACTGGTTTTTAGCTTACCAAACTGGCTTTTAATCTGCCAGCAGATTTATTCAAAAATGTGAATTGATGCATACAGCAGTTGATTACATTATTCAAGGAAGAATTACTTATTAATTCTCTGGCATTAATGTCAATAGTTAATTAAAATTTTTGTGAAGAATGTTAACAATTATCTTTAAATTATAGAATGATAGCTTTATAAATTAGAATGTTTTATATGTGTAATATTTTATAATTGTAAATGTTAATTGAACGTTATAGTATTTTCTGTCCTTAAAGTAAGACAAATGTTTACTTTTAGTAATTTCTAATTTAGCATATTTTGATAGCTTTCCACAACACTGAGTTTTCTAAAACCTTAATTTGAAATGGATCAATAAAAATTATGGCTAATTAAGTTAATCTTTTCAATTAGGTATTAGGTAAATTAAACTGCTGAAAGTGATTTGTTGTATTATAAGGCAAAAATTCAAATGTATATATTTCTATTTTTATTGAGCATTTTTAAAGATGTGACAATTTAGCTAAAATGTCTGGCATAGGTCATTGGAATTATTTTTTATTTCTACTCATACTAAGGATATTCCATGTAGAATTCTTTTCTCAACCAGTTTTTACTTAACAGTTTATAAAATTGCTCAATAACATATATTTGTTATTTTCTTTTTTATCTTAGGAAAAACTTATTCAAGGGAAAGAGACTTAATATTTTTGATATGAAGGTTGCTGAAGAGGAACCTGAAATAGGTTTGTTAATGATAATTAAATTTTTCAAGTATATAAACATTCCACCTTTTGACGGTGCCCTAAGTATTCAGATTGCATAATACTAGGATATTTTTAAATTGTGTCCTGTCATTGACCTTTGTTTTTGTGTGCCGTCGAGTCGGTTCTGATTCCAACTCATAGCGACCCTGTATAGGGTTTCCAAGGAGCAGTTGGTGAGTTTGAACTGCTGACCTTGCAGTTCAAACTGACCTTGAGGTCGAGTACTACTAGCTATGTAAATCCAAAGCCATAGAGTAGTTACTAATTTGAGTGTTGTTAGGTGCTATCAAGTCAGTTCCGACTCATAGTGACCCTGTGCACAACAGAAGCGAACACTGCCCGGCCCTGTGGCATCCTCACAGTCGTTGTTAGACTTTAGCCCATGGGTGCTACCACTGTGCCAATCCATCGCGTGTGGGAACCTTCATCTTTTTCAGTGATCCTCCATTTTACCAAGCACAGTGTCCTTTTCCAGGGATGGGTCCCTCCTGATAATATGTCTAAAGTATGATAGACAAAGTCACACCATGCTAACTTCTAAGGAGCATTTTTGTTTTACTTCTTCCAAAACATGTTTGTTTGTTCTTCCTGCAGTCCATGGTACTTTTAATATTTTTCTGTAACACCGTAACTCAAATACATCAATTCTGTGGCCTTCCTTATTTTCCAAATTTCACATGCATATGGAGCTATTGAAAATAATTTGTAACAACCCTGTATTGTTATTCAGAGATAAATAAGCTGTGTTTCATGCTCTCAAGTAATTTCCTATCTAGAGGAGCCCATTGCTCTTGGCTCCTACTTGACCGTTTAGGACAGAGTAGAACAGCGTCATGTTTCGCTATTGTAAATTGTTAGGGAAGGAGACTGCCGCCTTTTCATTTCGTATGGTGAGTTTGAACTACATTTTGATTCACAGCTGAGCACTTTAACTACTGCACCACTAGTGTTTCTTATTTAAAAGATCATATTGATGTTTTGTTTGTTAGGTGCCTTCAAGTCTGTTCTGAGCCATAGTGATCCTATGTACAATAGAACAAAATACCACCTGGGCTTGCACCATCCTCACAATTGCTGCTCTGCTTGAGTTCATTGTTGCCATCACTGTATCAGTCCATCTCATTGGGGGGTCTCCCTTTTTTTTTTTTTAAACTGTCCCTCCACTTTACCAAGTATGATGTCCTCCAGGGACTAGTACCTCATGGCAATATATCCAAAGTATGGGAGACAAAGTCTGGCCATTCTGGCTTCCAGGGAGAATTCTGGTTGTATCTGGCAACACAGATTTCTTGTTCTTCTGACAGTCCATGGTAATTTAAATGTTCTCTAACACCATGACTCAGGTTGTATGTGACAGTGTTCCACTGCTATTCATAAGACTTTCAATGGGTAAATATTCAAATTCTACAGTCTTCCTTATTCACTGTACACGTTTCACAAGCATATAAGGCTACTGAAAATACCATGGCTTGAGTTACCAAGGCCAGATTTTCCAAGTTCGGATTCTCCTTTGTTTCCAACCAGTAACTATCAGTACAACTTGATTGCGTGTTTGATAAGTTTCAGACTGAAGAAGTTGGTAGAATTCTTCAATTTCATCATCACTGACTTTAGCGGTTGATACATAAATTTGAATAATAGTGGTAATAGCTGTTCTTCCTTGCAGGCATATAGCTGTCATCCTATCACAGTCAGCATTATATTTCAAGATAAATCTTGAAATGTTCTTTTTGATGATGAATGTAACACCATTCCTCTTCAATTTATCATATCTGGCAAAGTAAACTGTGTGATTATCAGATTCAAAATTGCAAATTCCGGTCCATTTTAGATCACTGTTGCCTACGATATTGATCTTTATGCGTTCTGTTTCATTTTTTAAAACTTCCAATTTTCTTAGATTCATACTTTGTACATTCCATATTCCAATTGTTAATGGATGTTTGTAACTGTTTCTTCTTATTTTGAGTTGTGCTTCATCAGCAAAGCTTTCAGGACCTTTGCTCCGTCCACTTCATTAAGGTCAACTCTGTGTTTCTTCAGTCGTATCTTGAGTGCCTTCCAACTTAAGGAGCTCATTTCTGGCACTATCTCTGAGAATACTCAGGTGCTATCTGACAGTGTTCCACTGCTATTCATAAGGCTTTCAGTGGGTAAACCTTCAAAAGTAGTCTGCCTCTCCTTCTGAGTGTGTCTTAGTCTGGAAGCTCAGCTTAAAACTGTTCACCATGGTTGACCCATGTTTAGGAGATACACAGTCAAATGTATAAGTAATCTAGCCAACTTACAGTGTTGTTGTTGTTTTTAAGGTTTTTATTGTGGATTGAGTGAAAGTTTACAGGGCATATCATCAGTTTCATATTCAACCATTCATATGACTTGTTTCATTACATTGATTATAATCCCCTCCATACATCATCAGTTAACAGTGTTTCTCTCTATCCTCTTTAGTTTTTTGGGGGGTGGGGGGTGTTGTTGTTTTTTAATATATGATTATTTTTCTAACTACCAGTGTCATAGCTTCTAGCATCACAGCAACACACAAGTAATTACTAAAATTAGATCACAAAAATAATTTCATCCAAGTCACTACAGTGCAACAAACTGGCAGACAACTGGTGGATTGCATTGATAGAAGTAACTTAACCAAACCAGTTGCCTTCAGATCAGTTCTGGTGCCTGGCAGTCTGTGTGTGCAGAGTACAACTGCACTCCAAAGGGTTTCAAGGCTGTGACCTTTTGGAAAAAGATTGCAGGTCTTTCTTTCACAGTGTCTCAGGGTATGTGTGAGCCACCAGTCTTGTGATTAGTAGTCAAACACGTGTTGCACCGCCCAGGGATACTGCAGACGTAACTTAGTGGGCATGAGTTACTGATTCTTTAGGAGATACATTGAAAAATGGAGAGGAAACTAGCCAACTTCTAATGTTTTTTCCGTAATATATTCTTTATTATTCAAATTTTCTCTGGATGAGATGTCAAATCTTTAAAATCCAAAGTCTTAAGACTAATGAAAAGAAATGAGTGTCTCCTTTTAAAATTGAATGAAATTTTGTTTACTGGTTATTGTTGCCTTGTGTCGTTGAGTCATTACCAACTGATAGCACCTCTATATAGGGTTTCCAAGGTTGTAAATCTTTGCAGGAGCAAAAAACCTAAATGAAGGAATACAATACAGATAATATTCAGCTTAAAAGTGAGTTGCATTTCTAAAGATTGTCGGTTAGCTTTTTGGAGATTGGTAGAAGCGTTTTTATATATGGTGCTTAAGTTTCTAGCCTAAACCAGTCTCCAATTGCTTATTTAATCCCTCTAATAGTATGGCGCTGTGGGATAAAGCACTGGGTTGCAAGGTTGGTTTGAACCACAAGGTCAGTATGTAGGCTTACCAGCTGCTCTTGTGGTCACTATGGGTCAGAACCAACTCGACGGCACTTAACAACAACAGTAATAGTTTGACACTGTGTGATAAAGTACTATACGACAAAATCTGTTTGAACCACAAGGTTGGTTGTTCAAACTCACTAGTTTCTCCTTGGAGCAAGTATTACAGGGTCGCTATGAGTTAGAACCGACTCAATGATGTTTAACAAAAATAACAACAGTAGTTACCTGGGAGCATGGTGGCTCTGTAGGCTAAGCACTGGACTGTGGACCATAAAGTCAGTGGGTTCAAGTCCACCAGCCACTCTGCAGAGAAAGATGAGTTGGAAGCAACTCAATGGCACTTAACAACAACAAAACAGCAAGTAGTTACATGTGTAAAAGTTCTTAATATCTGTCAGTCAATGCATGGTCAGGCATGTTTTTGCACATAAAGGCTCATAGAAACAGAATCAAAATAACCAAGGTAAAATGCAGCTTTTGTAAGTGGACTTGGTAAAGGTAGATAAAAGGTAGGCAAGAGAATCAATCATGTGTGGTCTATACCATTGACCCAGAAGTTTCATTCCTGGGAATTTATTTTAAGGAAATGATCACAAATATCCATGAGAGTATAATCACAAGGTCCTGTAGGATATGCACTGGACTGGTAACCACAGGATTGGCAGTGCAAACCCACCAGCCACTCCCAGAAACCCCATGCTCGGATCCTTATGAGTGGAACCTACTCGACCTGAACAGCACTTAACAACAAACAACAATAGTGGTTAAAAGAAAAGAAATATAAATGATCGATGTGTTCAACAATACACCTATATAATGGTACATTAATGTAACCTTTATTAAGTGAAAAAAATGACGTCACCCAATGATATGATTCTAATTTATTTTTAAAAGCAAAATCACACTGAAAAAAAATTAGATCACAAAAATAATTAACAAAAAAATTTTTAAGGGAAAAGGGTGACCGAGGAGTGGATAATGATATGACACTGATATGCGACTCCTTTACTTTTTTTTTATGTAACTGTATTGAGATACTTAAATTCTACACATTTAAAGAGTGTACTTTTGACAAGTATTTATACATGTGGAACTAATACTGCAGTCAAAATAGTGGTGTAAGTAAATTGTCTACTGTCTCTCCTAAGCATAGTCTGTAACTCCACCAAAACAAAGCGTCTGCCCTGCTGGGTCTGGGTAAGAGAAGGTGGGGAAAGGTACAAATAGGATGACATGATTGAGCCTGGGATGTTAGCAGAGTTCACTGCAATTGTAAAAACTTGGAACTTTAGAATGGCTATAAAATGAAGCATCTTAGAAGCAGGAGAGGAGATCTCACTATCATCAAGAAGAACCAGGAGTGGAATGTGTCCTTTGCACCATGAGATTCCTGCACATTGAACCTCCTTGACTCAGAGACGGAAAGCTGTGACACTGAAGGAGTGACAGAGGAGTAGCAGCAGCAGGATCAAGAACCAGAACACAAGACAAAGCAGGGGGCTTCCCAGCCCACGGAGCAAGTAAAGCTGAATGACTTTGGGTAGGAAGCTTGTTTATAGAGTGCGGTGCCTTCAGGCACTTAAGTGGGATAA